CACTTCTTCTCCTCCTGGTTGATCAGAGAGAGAGAGATGGGTAGAGAGACATTTGCTCCGTTCACACTGTTCTCTATTCTCTATTCCAGCTCACTGTTCTGTAAACACAATACGTCGATACGGGGGTGTCGACTGTTGGACAGTGCCTGAAATCACATGTTATATATCTGTTTGGGTTAGAGCTTCTTCAAGGTCTGTTTAAGGTCCTGATCATTTCTGTTCTGACTTGGTAGTAACCTCAGTCTCAAGTGATCTGATCACCAGTGGACAGCTCTACGTTCAGGTGTGAACGTACCCAAGACACATTGAGGACACATTTGAGATCCGATCACTCAGATCACATTCTTTTGCAGTGTAAACATGAATATGCCCTGCACCACAGTGAAGGACCGCCCACTCTACTGACGTCCTCTGAAGGACCGCCCACTCACTGGCGTCCTCTGCCACAGTCCAACACAGTTTATAATGAATGGAAATTATTTGACAATTTGAAACAGATAAAACCTGATTTCAAGCAGTCACTGAGACGCACTTTAAATCAGCTGTGAACTGACAAACTCGGGGCTCAACACTGGTGATCGGATTACCTGAGACAGGTGTTAATACCATGTCCGAACAGGTCTGAACAGATCTGAACTGGGTCACTGAAGACCATGTTAACCAGGTCTTAACGTGGCTGCAGACTCGGGGGAGGGGGTGTGGGTGGGGGGGGCAGTGAAGGGTTAATGCTGAGGTGAATTCCTCACATTCCGCTGCTGTTGGTCGGTGCTGATAAGAGGAAACTTTCTGACCTCACATTACTTTTTCTATAAATTCAATCAGCTGTTTTTCATTTCCTGTCCTGATTTTCTTCTTCTGTGGTTGATCTCAGGTCACTGCGGCTTCAATGAACATGTTGGCGTTTTAAGCATCTGAACAGTGGTGATGATGTCATGTGACCATGTTAGAGAAAAAGCTGCACACTGAGCGCGCTCAGTTGATCTAGTATCTGAATGGACAGCTTCAGTGTGACCTTTGACCTATAGAGTGGTCTGTGTTTTCTCCAAAGGAACATCTGGACAAACATGTGTCTGCTGTTGGTGCTCAATGTTTCCTTATAGGGAAGTCAGTTTACACAGGACTCTGACAAACACACACACACACACACACACACACACACACACACACACACACACACAGTCGTGTTTCCATCATTTCAGACGACACTACATTTACTTTCTTTCATTTTCTGGAGACATGACCAAACCCCAACCCTTAACTTAAAGCTAACCTGAAGCTAACCTGAAGCTAACTTAAAGCTAACCTGAAGCTAACCTGAAGCTAACTTAAAGCTAACCTGAAGCTAACCTTATGAGGACATGTTTGAAGTCCCCACAACATGAGTACCACAGCGAGAAAATCACACAGACAGGTTGCTCAGGTGTTGAATTTACCTGCAGGTGGCTGACAATGCAGAACGGTTCGGGTCGGCTCAGACCACAGGTGGAGGTGGACGACAGCTGGTGAGCTCGGCCAATCAGAAGGTCTCCTGTTGCGGGGTAACAGCTGCCTTCGGTGCAGACATCACTGAGCTCAGGCAGGCTGACATAACCCACGTCCTGGCCCACCGAGGCCCCGCCCTCTTGAGCACAGGTACACACCTGCAAAGCTGATAGCAGAGGCTCTTATTGTGAAAGTCTAACAGCTGTTTAGAGCTGTTTATTATCACTACATAGCTAACGTTAGCATTAACAGCTATTAACTTACCCCACCCACCACTACTACCCCACCCCCTCCACACACAAGAATTAGTTATGTAGCAATAGCACAAGTTACAAATAGCTCCTTTAAACTGAATATTTTTCAGATTATTACTGTTAATTTATTGATGACGTTTTAATAATAATCAATATGCAGCAGCTTCTTTTCTGATTTGATCAACTTTAACTTTTTAATTTCTGAAATGAGTTTGTTTGATCAGAACATTAAAACAGATGTTATAACACATGACCAAAGAGTTCAATAAGCCCGATGTTAATTATCTAATTAACTATATCTAGAAAGAAACAGAAACAAACATCTGCTGAGTTTAAAGGTTTTAAAGATGAAATCAGTCTGAATCAACAAAACGGATCCGCAGTGATTTTATCAGCGTCTCGAGCTGATCTCATCAGATTCATTCTTTTACCTGTGATTGATCAAACCAGTAATCACTTTGATCTTTTCATTCGATCACTTTAATTCATAAATGTTTGTTTGTCTCAGCTCCATGATTCTGCTCAGCTGCGGTTTCATTGATTATTATCGATTATTGGATGGATGAATCATTCAAAACATTTTTAAACTCACTTTTCTCTTCAGGCCAAAACACAAAGATTCACTTCGATAAATCAAAAAATTATTAGACTATAAACTGTTTTTCTTTCTTTTGTTTGGTCCATTGATTCAGACACTGGAGTCACGAGTTTAACTAAGAGACACAAAACCTACAGAAAATTGAGGATTAGTGAATCCGAGCTGATCACAGATCGATCACAGCTCATCGCGGATAAGATTCAAACTCTTTTAGTTCCAACAAACAGCAGAAGAAATCATTCAAATAAAGTTTTCTCACCGAGCAGCACCGCGAGCTGAAGCTCCAACATCCTCTGATCCTTAAACCGGACTCCTCCAAACCTCCGAAGATTCCGGACTCTGAAAACCTGCAGACCAGGACCCTGAAAACCTTCGCAAAGTTGAGTCTTGCACAGACTCTGGACCCCAAAAACTTCAGCAGAACCCCTCAGACCTCTTCCGACTCCGCCTCCTCCGATTCATCGAGGACTAAAGGGGGATACATCCGGGCTGCCTTTCAAAGTAAAACTGTCTGTCGGTCTCTTTATCTGCGACAGTGCAACGACAGTAACAGGGAATATGTATATGTGTGTGTGTGTGTGTGTGTGTGTGTGTGTGTGTGTGTGCGGGGGGGGGTCAACAACAACAACGACAACACTGGAATAAAATCACAACACAAACAAAACATTAACGAAGAAGATAATTTTTTTGTCTGGCGCTTTTAATTTGAAAGAAACTGACCTGACTTCCTCTCTGACTTTCTCTCTCTGAGTGACTTTACTACTCTGTGTCTCTGTCTCTAAGCAGCTCTACATGGCCAAAAGTTAGTGGACTCCTCTCTGCAGGTCTGAGCTGGAGTCACAGTCTGTCTCCATGTCAAACCACTTCACAGCTGTTATTGATTATCACTTGATTATCCGCTTATTCTCTCTCACTTTCTCTATGAAGTGATTTTAGTGGTTTCCTCCTGGATTTCTGGAGGGGATCAGAGGAGACTGTGCTGCCCCCCCCCCCAGCTCAGACAAAGACATTCCTGCCTGCCCCCCCCAATAGACATACACACCTCCCCCTTTGTTGTTGCAGGTGAGGTTTAACTGTGTGGGAGGAGGATGTGTGTGTGTGTGTGTGTGTGGGGAGGGGGGAGGTAGGGTGGGGGTGGGGGTTGGGTGTTTTCGAGTCCGACCCCCCACCTGAACATCTGAAGACTCATTCAGTGTGTATGTGTCCATGGTGCATTGTGGGAAATGACTGTGAACGTGTGGCAGCCTGTAGAGATGAGCTGTGAGCCACATACACATACACACACACACACACACACACATATACAAACACACGCACACGCACGCACGCACGCACGCACGCACACACGCACACACACATTTCCACGGTGGAAACGTTCAAAGAGTTTTTAATTAACATGATTCACAAAGTCCAAAGTCCCAGACCTGAACACTCACTACATGTAAAGGTGCAGAGCTGCAGGTTTAGTGATAATTCTGATCATCTCTGATCAGAATCATGTGACTCAGTGATCACAACTCTGACTGGTTTGAATCATTCTGCTGTTTCTTTGTTTGGCCCCATCCCAATGTCCTCCCTCAGACTCGCAGTCCGTGAAGTCTTAGTTCTGTCCCACTGTCAAACCATCAGACATTCTGAGCCCTTTATGCACACTGTCCACATTTCTACAGACTTTGCCTGAGGGAATTACCCTAGCATTGTGACATTAAACATGGGGTTACCATGGTTATCAGGGGACACCCAGAAGTGTAAAAATGGCAAACAATGGCCATAAAACACAAGAAATAATAAGATAGAGGAAGAACAGTTAAGAAAACAAGCTTAAAAGGAGCTAACGCTAGCATTAGCATTCCAAGAAAACACAGTATGACAGTATAAACACAGAGTCACTGTGATTCAGAGACTGAACTGTGGACTTATCTGTCCTGTGATCACATGATGATGAATTCCAAATATCCAGATTAGATCAGACCTGATCCAACATCATTTTTTTGTTTACAAAAGTCCCAAACCCACAATTGAATGCAAGTGTTTTGGCATCATCAAGGTAACGTGATATAAGTTATCCCATTCATTTTGAGCCTGCAGCCTCTCGAACTCACTCTCTCACCAGGTGAAGTCAGGTACGTCTCTGAGGGTCAGGGGTCAGGGTTTAGGGCGGACATTGGGATTGGGCCTTTATCTGTCTGAGAGAGTTCTTCCTCCTCCTCCTCCTCCTTCTGTGTTTGGAGTGAGAGCGCCATCTGCTGGACAGAAACAGAACTGCATCTGCTGAACTTCAACAACAAACCGTGAGGAATCGATTCATATATTGATTATATTGATCAGATATAAGTTCTCTTCAGTCACTATGATATAAACAGAGCTGTTAATTTGCTCTTTTGATACTTTCACAAAGTTTGACTTGTTTTTAATCTTTATTATATGATTATTATTATACTATTACTACTACTACTGTATACTATTATTATTATTACACTATATTATTATTAAACAGTGACATTCATGATAGTGAGATTCAGTAAATGTCTTTAATGAGGTTTTTATAACATTACACTTCAGCACAGACTCATTTCACACATTAAGAAACAAAGTGAGATGTTGTACTGCAGTATTAATGAGGAGCAGTATTTCAGTATGCAGTACTCTGCAGTACTGTGCAGGATTCATGAAGTACAGCTGACGTATCCTTCGGCTCGTTTGGAGATTTCCTTTCGAAGTGAATCGACTGTTTGCAACAACATGGAGACTTCAGCTGATTTCTGCTCTTTACTCCTGATTAGCTGCTGGATCTTCTGCTCCAGACCTGACAACACACACACACACACACACACACACACACACACACACAGACACTCGGAGCAGCCAGGATTGCCCAGGCTAAGCATTGCATGTATTTGGCAAGTGAGGAAGTCTGTTCCAGGTGGCTGCATATATAAGTTGCAATCAGTTGCTCTCCTTCAAAGGACCGTACTGCTGCTTTAACATGTTAGAGCCCATTTACTGAAAATCACAAGCAGTTTTCCAAAAGACCAAAAGAGTTTTGCAAAAAAACAAACAAACTTTTTAGCAGATTGTTGAATGTTTTTTTTTTGTTTTTTTTCCCAGCCATTGTTTTCCATTC